TAGCTGGATGCGGCTTGGGTGACAAGTGGCAGAGTCGGCACCTCCCCACGCCCATCCGGTCCCCGCGAACAAGGCAGGAGGGCAGACCCCTCACCCCCCAGCTGGGATCGAGACACCTGAAAGGCCAGAGGGGCCCGGGCCAGCCCCCATGTGGTGCTCGCACTGGTGCTGGGCTCCCCATACCCGAGTGAGAGTCTCCCCCCCACCCCGGGATGCGCTGGCGAGTGGGACCCTACAAGGGAGCAAATGCATCCTCCGGAGCCAAGGAAACAGCTGCCACTCTCAGTCCTCTGCTGTCCCGGACGCCTCGCCCAAGCCCGTTCGCCCTCCTCCCACCCCCACTCAGCCAGCGCCCGGCTCGGCGCCACATGAGTCTCACGCCGGCCCTAAGGAGGAACCATGCGAGGCCAAGGCCCGATTCCGTGCTCCAGCCCAGCCAGCCCGCTCACTGCCCTTCCCCCAACCTGCAGCAGCTTTCCCCCATCCCTCGGGGGCAGAGGCCCAGGGACCTCACCCCGTCTCCTCTACCCTGCACACAACACACAGCTCTAGGCCTCGCCCCTTCCCGGCTAAGCACCCCCCGAGTTCCCAGCATTCGCCTTGCGAGCAGCCCCCAACCCCTCGCCCCCCATCTCACTTTCTTCTAAAACCCGACCCATCTCCCGGCAACCTGCACAGACCTCGCCCGTCCCTCCCCTGGCTCCGAACGCAGCAGCTGTTGGCACCGAACTCACCACCTGGGCAGAGAACTGAGTCCCAGTTGCTCTTCCACACGCCAGCGTCGGGGGGGAGAGGGGGAATCTCTGTCTTCCAGGCTAACAAGCCCCCCCATCTCACTTTCTTCTAAAACCCGACCCATCTCCCGGCAACCTGCACAGACCTCGCCCGTCCCTCCCCTGGCTCCGAACGCAGCAGCTGTTGGCACCGAACTCACCACCTGGGCAGAGAACTGAGTCCCAGTTGCTCTTCCACACGCCAGCGTCGGGGGGGAGAGGGGGAATCTCTGTCTTCCAGGCTAACAAGCCACCTCAGGTGAGGCAGGTGCAGGTGAGGGGACGGGCACGGAGCAGAGTCAGCCCCTCTCCTGTCCCCAGCAGGACCCCCAGCTCCGGCACGTGCACACAACCTGGGCAGCAAGGCAGGGAGGTGCCGGGGCACAGACTACGACATGGGTGCGGGGGAAGGGCCCCGTGGCTGTCAATGGATCAGCCCCAGGCCCGGGCTTCCAGGGGGGACGGTCCCAACCCCTGTTGGGGGATTCAGGGACCTCTCCGGCCTTTCTACCGGTGGCCGAATGCATCTGGACCCAGCGATTTATCCCCCTCCCACACGGCGACTGCTCCCTCCGCTGTCACATTATCCAGCGGGGAGCAGACCCACGGGCCCCACAGGTCCACGCCCTGTACTGGATTCTGTCCCCAGAGCCCGGGGACAGTCCCCACAGGGTCACAGACCTTCTGGGGGTCTCTTCCAGCCCAGCCCCCCTGTGCAGCCAGAGCAGCCTGCCAGCACCCCCAGTCCCTCTGCCGCTCCCAGCCCGGGCGATCCAGAGTTTGACACCGGCTCCTGTTCAAGCAGCTGACAAATCTCGAACGCGATTCGATTGCCAAGTGGTCAGGACTCGAGCAGCCGAGGGTTTGCACTGAATCGTCTCTGGCGATCCAGAGTTTGACACCGGCTCCTGTTCAAGCAGCTGACAAATCTCGAACGCGATTCGATTGCCAAGTGGTCAGGACTCGAGCAGCCGAGGGTTTGCACTGAATCGTCTCTCCTTCCGGGGGGCTGGGCGGGGAGGGTCCAGATGGTGCTCCCCCCCCC